GGAATGCATGTTGGCAAATGTGCTAATTCCTACACAAGTATGTTTCGGGGTATAAAACAGCTGTTTGTGGGATTATTCTCTAGGTCTAACTTCCCTCTTCTCCCATTTTTCTTTTTATACACTATGGAGTAGGATATAAGGCATATTGCAGTGCACCAGGATCTAGAATGGTGGCTTGCCATGGATAATAGAAATTTACTCCCTCTTGTATGGGGCTGTCCAGGACTGTTTGAAGGGAGGTGCCTCAGAGCTGCTTGCCTGTAGCCTGTACTTGTTGAGAACTGGGTGCTGATAGCTCAGATGAGCTTCAGTGGGTCGAGGGATTTGGCATTTGCTGCACAACATCAATCTGCTAATGGGACCTGTGCAGTTCATTTAGGAAAACACAGTATTACACCCTCAGTGGGAATCTGCTCTGTTTAATACCATAAAGGCCAGAAGAAAAGTCTGAGGTTTAACACGTCCTGGATATATCAACGTGAAACAAAACATAGGGCTGATCCCTCCTTCCCTTCCAGCTGCAGCTGAAGTCCTGAATCGGTCATGTGGGATCTGTGTCTGCAGATCTATGGCATCAGACCCAGCCCTCAGCTGAGCTCTCTTGAAGATTATTGTGTCTTGTCTACAATAGGAGTGAAAATTATAGGAACACCCCATCCAAGCCTGGCTTCCTCTGAATCCTTCCTTGCGATGGAAAAGGTTTGTAGCTCCACTTTCTAGGTCATTTTCAGCCCACCTTCAATCTTACCTCTTAAATGCAGATTCCTGAAGTGCCAAGTATCTGTGCCATTATTTTTCCTCTTGCAATGTGTGAAGTGGGTCATAGTGCCAGTCCCGTGGCGACCAGGTGCCCTCCTGCAGGCCTGCTTCATGGCAGGGCAGAGGGTACTCAAGACATGAGAGAGACATACTCTACTCTCTTAAAAGATAATTTTTTTCTTCTTTATCTGCTGTTTACCTTAATCTAAACTAAAAATCACCTTGTACGCTTTTCGGCTTGAAAAACAAACCAGATGCAGATTTGCCAAACAAAGTTTGTTTTCCTCCTGCTGCTGTTAATGTCTGAAGACATTCAGTAGTGCTTCCTGGTGCCTCACTGCCAGTAGCTATCCTTTTGCAGCAACAAGTTTCTTCTCCAAAGTTACTGAACAGTTTTATGGATTCGATGTTATTAAAAGCCCCAGTGCTGTTATACCGGTTCCCCTTCTCTTACAAGAATAAATTACTTCAATATAATCGCTATTGTGATGGAGAAGTTTGCAGGCAGAGTGGAGAGGACTACAGCGCTTTGCATGTACAAATACAGTTAAAAAGATGCAACGTGTCTGCATATACAATCTTCCACCATTAAGTTCACTTGCCTGTAGGAATGAGGTAAAAGTAGCAGCAGTGACCCACCCTTTAAAAAGAGCATAGAGAGCACTTTGATATTATTTCACTAGCAGCACATCGGGACAAGCCCTTGCCTAGTACCTGATCATCTTACAGCACTTCTCCCTCTTTGGCACGACAGCTGCTCTAGGGCTCTTCCAAGTATTCCCACTATCCTACATGGGTGGTGGAAAACCAAAGCTAAACAGAAGATTCTGGGTGAGCCGAAGCTGTTCTCAACCATCAAGACTCAAAATAACGAAGTTGACTGTTAAATCACCATTTCCCTTCATGGATTCACGGCCTTGCTCTTTTGATGGTTTCAAATGATCTGAAGGAGAAAATGTTCTGAAAAACTGAAGAGTTCACATTCCACTCAAATCAGCCAAGGACGTAAAGTTTCTTTCATCAGTGCCGGTGTCTGAAATGTAAAAGTTAGGCAGGATAAAAAGTTGTCTACCTTCTCCTTCTAAGACTTTGATTCTTGGCAACATTTTGTCCAGTGTCAGGAGGAATCCATTCGGAGCAGTTTGTTGAACAACCTTTCCCATTTCTGAAGAGAGTTCCGATGAAATATCACTGACCTTTTAGTCTGATACGTGTCCGAGTCATTCTCCACATAAGTCTGTTTCTTTAGCAGGTGCTCTCCTCTGTAGGCTTATCTTTCCATTTCCTTCTAGGGGGCTCACACCTAGTTTACTATGAACATAATGGGAGAATCATAATCTTTTGCTTTCCAGCTAACAACGATAGTGTCAAACCGTCTCGCAAACTGTGAGTAAGTGCAGAAACCCTACTGCAAAAGTCTTTGCATCAGCTTTGACCTGGGGAAACTGAAACACCTCATTTTCAAACCTAGTGAATGACAACACACAGGGACACTTGTTCTGGGTGCTGCACAGAGGCTGCAGCTGTTATGTCCATCCCTTGATCACAGGGGATGCAAAAGATAAGGAAACAGAGCACAGATTCCTGAATTCCCAGCTGATAATTTTAATTAGGCAGTTGAGATCCTGGAGGAAATGAGTGTGAGTCTGTGTAATTCCTAGATAACCAAAAGCCTGACCCTGCGCTGTGAATCAGGCAAATGTCCCATTGACTTCGGTAAGAGCTTTTTGAAGAGATGGGTACAGGCGGGATCTGACTTATCCTGTGCCAGAGGCAGGTAGCCTTACAGCATCGGAGCACTGTTAATAAGGCTAGAATATCCTAAATCTTTCCATGCAACAATGTCTCAGCAGTGTAAGTGATACATTATATATATATATAGACTAAACTATATATAACAACTGCACAGAATGTGGTTATATTTTTATAGAGGGAGTTTCTGGTGATTATAAACTAAGCTATCAATTCTCATATTTCCAAGATCCAAAGATAAAAATATCACTATATAACAAATGCAAATATTGCATGTATTTTATTTTTATTATACTTGAATGCTGACAAAAATCACAAGCAAATAGTTACTAGCTTAAATATTTTAAAAGTCTTACAATAAGGCTCCTTTTGTTCCATTTTATGCTTTTTTTAAGCTGATCTTCTTTCAGAGCAATATATGGAGCAGTTCCTGTGAAGATTTGTGGTAGTGGGAAGATTTGTGACAATCTTTCAGTGCAAATATGCATGTTCCTCATCAAAGTATTGTTCTTCCTTTTGGGTAGACAGAAATTCTATGCAGGGATGAAAGCAGAATAGCTAAAGTGGTCTCTAAATTTGCAATTTTACTTATTTACAATAAAAGCATCAACAATAGTGTCATTGTTTTCTTCTATGTTACAGGCAGCTATAAATAAATGAGAGAGTTCACAAAAAAATTCAAGGTTTCACTTCAAGAGACTCCATATGATTAGAAAAGAGCTGAAGTTTAGTCCCTGGATATTTGCTCCGGGAAATAACATGATTTCGGTGTGTGACTAAAATTTGTGATCTGTCTGTGGGTCAGCTAAAATGTCGTTTACAACATGCTCACCCTGATTGTTCCTTCTAAGTATCCCCAAGATGTCCTGGCTTTCTTTTCTCAGGGTGATACCAGAAATCAACCAACCTTCACAAGATCACAAAGGTTCGGTGTGTGAAGTGCTTGAGGAGAGAGGGGACATACATGAAAGTTATAAGCCAAAATGGCATCTGCAAATGGAAATAGTCACAATTCCTTTGGGCACAGTGGCAGGAGTCAGGAAAGACGTTCAGTAAAAAAGAGTTCAGTGGCTTCAATTGCAGAAATAAACAAACCTCCGGACAAGAGACAAAATCATTACTGTTATCTAGCAAACCTTTATTCTAAATGGAATGTTAATTTCCTATCAGCCTGATTTACCGATACACTCTGAAACGTAGCCAGGTGCAAATTCTCACCATTTCTTAAGTCGATTTCCTGGTGGTTCACCTACCACAGACAGTTTAAGTATAGATATGAATGGAAAGAGCTGCATGGATAATGCAGATCAATGGCTGTCTGAGGAGTGACTCAGTGGTAATGCCTTTCCTCGCCACTCTGAGCCAACCCCATAAAAAAGCACGCCAGTCCAGCCTTGCAGCCTTGGTAGGCGGAAGTAAGGTGGGGGGGGAGCCACAGCAGAGATACACCGACATACAGGAAGGCAGTCGCTTTTCATAAGCTCAGCGTGTGCAAGGAGCATCTACAGCACCATGGAGCGCTGGTGTTTGCAGCTGGTAACCTCAGCACAGCCCCACTAACTTGTGCTCTCCTCTCCTGGTGTGACCCTGACCCTAGTGGCTAACTGGCCCAGCAGTGCCTGGCAGTCCTCCCGGTGCTCACCAGCAAAGAGATGATGTGTGGGTCGCAACTCGCAGGTCAGCCCTGAAGAATGCAGGAGAAGACACAGACGCTCCTTTGGGAACCTCATGGGAGTGAGTGGATATCCTTGAAGGGCAGCACAGGGAATACGGGCTGTGAATGCTTCCATGCCCTTTCCCAGTCTCAGCCCCTCCATCTGCCTTAAGGGGAGAGAGGCAGTGAACATCTTTGCTCTTCTGCCCTTTTATATGGGCACAATAAATCCCAGCCTATATACCTTCAGCCATAGAGGGGCAATGCATTTCCCGTGAGCAGAAGGATTTAGAATGTCTCTGGAAACGGGAGTTCAGCCATGAAGGGACTGATAGAAGTACATATAAT